TGCTGGGCAGCCTGTCTGCCCTGCTGCCTCCTTGCCTTGTGTATCTTCTCGCATCTGGAGAGAGGCAATCCTCCCAATATTTGACAGCCTTACTTCCAAATATCTGACGCTACTGCTGCCAACAAGGTTCCTCTCAACTCCGCTGCCCTGATCCGTGCCTTGCCCTGGGGGATAGCGAAGCCTTTTGCATGTTTCTGGGCTGACTGCAACCAATGGGGGAGTCAACGGGCCCCCCTGACAAATGATTTAAGTAGAATCCAAAAACCCCTCAGGCCTCCAAGGTCTCAAACCAACCATTGTGCTTGAATGTCCCAGCATCGTATTTTGAAGAGCATGAAACCCTTCAGATATGAGCACTTCATTGCCGCAGAGGCTGTCATACAGTAGAAGAGACTGAGTCGGGTTAAGATGGACGAAAACATTAAACTGATTATCTTAATCCTTAGTAGCCACCACAGTGTCTGTACTCAGCACATAAGACATGATTCCTAAGACCAGGAGCTCACCGTCTAACCATAGCCACACATGAGTGGCAGGTCCACAGGGTGCGTCTGTTGGAAGTGAGATCTGCAGCAAGAGTTACTGGAATTCAGTTGGGGGTAATTCTTGACCACGGGCAGGAAGCGGGATGCTGAGTGAAATGGGGAAGAGACAGGTGTGTATGTGTATGTGCGTGGGGGTCGGAGGAAGTAGGGGCGTTAGAAGGAGCAAAAGGCAGAGCAGATGAAATGCCACAGGTCGTGACTGAGGAGTGCCATGGAGCACGGTGACATCTTGCACCTATATCATGCCTTATCGCTCACAGAAAACTGCCATGTACTTCATCTCACCTGATGTCACAGTCTGGGAAGATACTGTTCCCACATGTTTGCAATTGAACCGAAGCACTCAAAACCATGCGGTTATTTAGTGGTAGAATAAGAATCAAACCCAGGAGTTCAGGCCCCGGAGCCCCGTGCCCTTCCTAGAATGCCAAGGCAGCCCGTGAATGGTAGGTACATACCGGCACGGAGGAGGCACGTATGTGGGGGTAGGTCCCCTGGAGACCACCTTACTCAAGTGCTCTGGGGCAGGAAAGGGTTTTAAGGCAGTGGATCTCGACTCTGGCTCCACATGAAACACACAGGAAGGAGTTGTTAGATGCCCACACCAGTGCCCACTCCAGAGCTTTCATTCCATTGGCAGGAAGCCCGGCAGCGACATGTGCAGCCAGGCCAGTGGCACCAAGAGCAAAGCCTGTGCACGTCCCTGAGTCCTCACTGGACTTGGGCAAATTAAACACTAAAAGGCAAAGTCCCGGTCTGCTTTTGACTAACCTGTTGTCTAGTCTGAATTTTCGAATTTATCCCAAAACAAGCCGCTGCTGGGGAGTGTGACATACAGAGACACACGCAGGCCGAGCACAGAAAGTCGAATGCCCCACTGCACCAGCAAGATCCGGCTGCTCAGATTAGTCCCCGGCGGTAGGCAACCCTCAGATACTTGGTTCTGAAGGGATTAGCTCTGGCTCCTAATGAAAATTCGGGGGCATTCTAGAGATATGAAAGCATAATCCCAGATCAGCAAAGCTGGATCGGCAAAACTGATTGTATGAAAAATTAAAACAACAACAGTATGCTCCATTTATTGGAACAGCAACTGCTATCTCTGTCCGACCTCACACCCCTCAACATGTTCATGATGTGATCCCAGGGAGGAACGAAAGCCAATGAGAGGAGACCAAGGCCCACGAGGAAGGCACATCTGACCATCATCTGTGCAGCTGAGGTAGACACTGGCGGGCCACCCTGAGCGTCCGGGCTCCTTCTCAATGTGGCGCTGATTCAGACACAGGACTCCACAGACCCGTCATAGCCAATCTCATGGGAAGGCACAGACCATTTTAATCCAACAGCAGATAATTGCAATGAAATGATTCTGGCCAAAAGGACCCATTTGTAATAATGAATTCAAATCAGATTCATAGGAGCCATAACTCAGACACAGTGGATACCACCATTTCCATACTCTTTCTCTTCCAAGGAGGCAAGCTAACTCAATATTCAAATAATTATTTTTACTTCCCAAGTAGCCCTTTGAAGTAATTATGGGAAAGATAATATTGCCTCACTTATAGCAAATGAGTTTCACCCACGTGCAGAACTTCAGTGTCACATCACGTCCTAACATCCTTCAATGCAATCAAAGACCTATCGCATCAAAAGCGATACCTCCAAGGAGGAAAACCATCCTTCTCTAAGCCAGGCAATTTCTCACGGGGAAATCCAATGAAGGACCCAGCTCCCACCAACGCTTTGCTTGTACTAATCTGTCTTTGGCCTCCAATGTGATTGTTCAAGACAGACACACTGGCTTGGGATTCTTTGATCCAACACAGCCACATTTGAAAAGACTTGCTGTGGCTGATGGGGTGGGAATCATTCAATGTGTTTTCAATATATTCTGAGCTTCTAATGCATTGGGAACACTAAATTCCCGAGCACGTGTCTCCCCGTGGAACATCTGTAAGGAGACTAGAGAGTGGCCGTACTCAAGAATGACATTGCTTTAAAAGCACTGCCCAATGCCAAATAAAGCATGGCCTTTATCTTGGGTTGAAGCCATGGACTTCCAGAGACTGGGAGCAGGGCCTCTCCCTCTGAGTTCTGACAAATAAGTGCTTCTTCGAGATGGAAAAACAGCTACTCACCAGCAAACCAGTGGAGCAGAGAGAACAAAAGGAGAGAGGTGGGGACCCCCAGAAATCTGAAGGAGATATTTATGTTTCTTTAAGAAGCATTGTACTGGTAATGAAATCAAAACTTAAGATACCAGGGAATGATAAAAATTAAAGTGATGAAGGCAAAAAAGAAGAAAGTAAACTATGATTCATTATTATTTTGCCTTTTGGGGAAAAAAAGCAAACTTTTAAAATAGAGGCATCTCATAAAAACGAAGGAAGAAGGCAATAACAGAAAAGAACCCAAGGTAAAAAGGAAAAGTAAATGGATAGAAAGAGATTAAAATGTGGACAATGTGCTGGATTTCTGCACCTCAGGGCAAATTATACAGAGAGGAGAAGCAAAACCAACAGAAGACATGTGCTCACTTTTAAAAAAACAAAGCATGCAACCAGGTAACAGCAGTTATACTTGAGCATGGAAGGTTTTTTTGTTGTTTTTTTTTTTTCCCTCTAAACAAAGCACACAAAAACAACTATTCAGCTCTTCCTTTTTTTCACTCCCATTCCCATTACCAAGCCCAGCTGCTAAACATCAGAATTGAAGATCATGAAAGCAGGCCAGTAGCTAATAAAATAAAAGAAAATAAATAAAGATAGACGGAAGCTGGCCCTCTGCTGGTGGAGAAGTCTTATTGCATCCTGGCCAGCAGAAAGTTCAAGTGGAACTTTTAGGGGAAGCAAGAGGGCAGAAGATTTTGGAAGTCAGCACTGAGGCCCGGGGAATGCTGGCCCTCTCTGCCCCCAGTAGTAGTAGATGAGAAGATAAGAAGAGATGCTGGCAGTGTCTACATCCCTCCGCACCTGGTAACAGTTACCAGCATTCCCCTGGTGAAGGTGCGCACACTGGTGCTGCTCCGAGCCCAGGAATTACTCATACCTTTGAGCCAACTGCAAATGAGCATCCGGAAAGCCATCTCGCAGGAAGCGGCCTCCCAACGCTTTTGGGGGGGCAGTGAAGTAGGCAGATGGCACTCTACTCTGAGACAGACTGAAGGATGCCCAGTGACCAGGAGGTCTGCCTCTAGCCTTTTCTTTTCTCTCTCAACCTGAGGCCCCTGAACTCCAGCAGCGAGGGTTCCGGGACCTATTCTCCAACTCAAAAGAAAATGTAGCTGAGAACCCCCCCAAAGTGACAAAAGAATCCAACCTTGGCCCTTGGGCTTAGGGGGGAAAAATAGCTGTCACTCCAAAAGGCCTTTCGTTCCTTCCCCTGGGAGAGGCTTATCCAGATGTAGCGAGAGTTCAACCAGGGGAGCCAAGGGAAGAACAGAAAGGACGCCCCACCCTCCTCTGTTCCTCGGAGAAGCCAGGCCTTTTGGCTGCAGAGTCTGGGACAGGATGTTTTATTTCTCACTCGAACCATCAAAGTCCCAGGCAGGGCAAACACATTCACCCTGTGTACACTGCGAGCCCGAGTTAAGCTGGGACATCCCTGAATCTGTCTCCTAGGACCAGGGCTGCCTCATTAAAGGGATAAGAGATATCTGCTGAGCTGGTGGAAAGTTGTGGCTGCGTTTTTATTAAAGTCTCTGCCGCAGCAGGTCCAGTCCCCAAAGGTTCATATTCCGAGCATCTCCATCCCTCTGCCTGGGGCATGCGAGCGATTCTCTGTAACTCATTAAGGTAAAACAAAAAGCGATCCGACTGTGCGTTTTGCACAGGAGTAATGTCCTTGCATAAAAGCAACCATGTTTCCTCTCCTGGTCCTGAGCTGGCAAAGATAAAACTGCCCTCATCATTTATAATTGGGGCCCAGGCGCACCACGCACCACACAGGCTGACATGAATGGCTGAGTCTTGAGCGGCCTCCCCAGGGGCCATGGCCCAGCACGAGCAGTTCCAGAGCCTGAGATTTTAGGTGTCTCACTGAGAGGGGACATCAGCCCATCCTGAGCATGTCCTGCCTCATCACACACCTGCTGGCAGGTGAGACAGCCACCAGCCTTCTAGACTACTCCCCAGGGTGGCCATCGCAGGGCTCTCCATCCTCACCTTGGCACCAAGGCAAAAGCGAATCTAGCCACGTCACAGACTCCTAACCAGGATGGAGTCCCAAGCAAGGACCTCTGTGTTCACGTCCAAGATCCTGGACCAGAGAAGCTAGAGCAAAGGACACACCTGTCCAGGAGGAGTGTCAGGTGACGCCGTGTGCAAGAGGGCGCCTCTTGAGCCTGCAGAGGTCCTCTCACCTGCTCCTCCCAAGCCTTCCTCTCCCTGGCTCACCCTTCATATAATCACAGCCCAGAGGCTCAGACCCCGCTGAAGTGCAGCTCCCTACCTGAGGGTGGCGCTCTCGCCCTGCCGGACCGTCACGTTGTCCATAGCTTTGGGGAAGGTGGCATCTCCGCTGCGCACCGGCACTCCTGTGGGTACAAGGAACAGCAGCCTGAGAGACACGATCACGAGGCACTTCCAGGGCAGGAACAGGTACCCACAGACCCCCATCCTCGACAGCCACAACTTCCCCGAAGGCCGGCCGCAGCAGGGTCCTGGGGCCCCGCCCCACAGGCCAGCGGGGCTCAGGCAGCGGCGTGGGGAGAGGCAGGGAGGAGCGAGCCGGGCGCCGGGAGGGAGCAGGAGAAGCGAGTCCAGGCTCTCCGGAGTCTAGTGGTTCTTCTGCCTCAGCTCTCCTGCCTGGCAGAACCAGATGCCCCTCCTGCATCTAAAAAGCGCTTTCTTGACGCTCCCCGGGGAGGCGGGAGGCAGCCTGGAAGGGAGAGCAGGAAGGAAGGTGCGGGATGAAGGTCACGGATGGCTCTGCCTCTGCCTCTCTCTCGGAGATGCTACTTTACAATGCGGTTGGGCAGGTTCTGCGGAGGTCTGGCATCAAAAGTTTATAACCCAGAGAAGCCGGGCGAGCCTGGCAGAGAGGAGATGCCATAAAACGCTGCTGCCTTGGAGAGAGGAGAAGATGCTTGATTAGATCACACATGTGGGGAGCTGTATTGATCATCAGCCCAAGTCTCCGATCTGGAACCCACAGGCGGGACAAAGTTCCACGCGGGGGCAGGAGGCGGGCTCCGCATGATCCTCCGAGCCCTGGACCCTGGACTTTCTCCCCGCAGCCCGGTGCGAACCAGCGGCCAGGGGCCCCCGCGCTGCCAGCCCGCTGAGCATGCCCAGCGCAGACTCGGGGTGCAGGGGAGCTGGGCGGGGCGGTGTCCCCGCCTCCTCCAGGGGACGGCGTGGGATGCCACGTTCAGGAGCCACCCCCAGCCTCCACACCGCCTTCCTCCCGGGAGTTGCCCGAAGCCCAGGGCCCTACCGCCAGGTTGTCATGGCAGCAGCTCCATCACTGACCACCACTTTCTCAGGTGCCCGCGCTGCTGGC